AATGAAATATTGCGTGTTTCTCCGTGTAGTACGTCGAACACGTGTAAAACGATGTTGCTTATAAGGGATTTTCGAAAAAAAAAAAAAAAATGAAAAATTTGAACCGCTCGACTCGGAAATGTTTCTTGAATAGCAAATAGCTAGAATGCAATCTTCGTTGACATTTTGTCCTTTATACATTACATAAATACGTATACGTTGTTTTTTTTTTCTGTAAGTATATATATTATGTTTCTTACATTGTTTAAAACGATACTATTATAGTATGTTTATTTTGTAAACACAGACGTCGCATGTAACGGGATGAAAAAAATTGTTACGACCCGCGAGTATGATTATTTGTATACTGGTGTAGAGGCACAATTAGCTCATAAACCTTGGGAGTGGAGGGCTTGGCCTTTAAAAAATAAATGTGATCCGTAGAGCTCTGTCTCTGCATTTGTAGGCGGGGGTCCAGACTATTCAGTGGCTAAGACCGCTTATCCCTACCTTCCGTTTTTCGCCACCGGGTATATTTTCCTCGTTTTGTATTTCAATGAGGCAATTTAAATTTCACATTAAGATTTTAGTCAACAAAAATAATTTGACCCGTATAGGGAGATGAGGGAGACAAATCTCTCCGTTGGCTACTGTTTATTCAGTAGGTATCTATTATCTTTACGATTAGCTATTTGGTAAATTGAATTAAAATTGCTTTCCATTTATAGTTTGAAAAACAAAACTATGTTAGGAGCGTACATCGATTCCGCCGAAATTCCATTTTTTCCTGTAAACAAAAATATCGATTGTGTCGACTAACGACTTCGCCGAACTCTTTTACGCGTTGATTCCGCCGGATGTGTGTAAAATCGATATCTACGATATACAGCAGCACATTTCTACCGTCCAGTGGCACCAGTGCAAGGGGGTTGATGATGGAACATTGGCCCTCAATTAAAGCACGGGGGGTAGACATATCATTTCGCACCCCGCGTTGATTAAAAATACATAACCAGTGGTATCGACATGGAAAAGTGTTCGGCGGAATCGATAAAAACCATATTGCCGATTATGTATCGAAAACTATACTACAGATCGGAGGTGCATAAATACTAAATACTGCGCCGCTGCTGCAAATTATACTCGTAAAACGAACGGAGTGTCGTCGAAATGCGTATACCGTGCCTACTGAAAATTGAAAAAAATATTTAAACAAAGTCTCGAAACACTTATCTCCCGAACAACTATTTTATTACGGTGAGTATAGGTGCGTAAAGGCATACACGTACGTATTTCATTAATTAAACGAATGAACGTGCACTGCACAGTTAAAATTTAGCCATTAGAATATCGTTGTGTGTAATTCAACGCATACGTATTTTATGTTTTGGAACGCGTTTGTAATATGATTTGTAAGTTTTTTTTTTATTTGTAATTTCGCCGTATGCATTATTCATACTATACAATACGACCCAAATATATTATACAGTGAATTTATAAGTATTTTTTTTTTTTTTTAATGTTTAAATTCGCATTTGAATTTTTTTTCCCTCCGAGTTGATGTGAAAATACATAATACCTAATGTACATCAATCATTGTTAGAAATGTTGAAATATATCGCCGAACCTAAACTCTTATCTCAATATTATATCATATTTTATTTTTATCTCGTTTTCGGTTTATACAAAATATTTAAACTGCATCGCGATACCTATATTTATAGTACGATAGACAATTTCGCAAACGATAAATCATATGATGATTTCGACGAGATTAATCGCGAGAAATTTATTTATTTCATAAAACGTCAAATACTTTATAACGTCAATACTGTATGCAACAAATGAATGGTCATGCGAGTAAATTCGCGTAAATTTATTGCCTCTGCGTTTTTAATTATTTTAATTTTTTTTTCATCAAAATATAATAAACTCAAAAATCCTTCATCTGATGGTTAGGGCACAGCTGATATTGATGTTTTAGTATGGATTAAAAAAAAGAACTGTAACTGAGGACGGGTTTGTAACTACTGTAGGAGGGAAGTTGGAAGTGCAGGACACAGAGTTATTTAATTTTAAACTGTACGCAACGATACACTATCGCTAACGAAAAATGGTTTCGAGCAAAATTCGGTTACATATGTTTTCAAATGCTGTAATATATTTACAATTTTTGTCGAAACTTGTAATTAGAGCTCTTATAAAAAATACGTCCCTCATTACACGTTATCTTATATTAGATGTATAAAATGCATTAAGTTTAGTGTATAGAAATTTAAAATGCCATTAATTAGGCCATTTATCCATCATAATAATATTTTAGCAGATTCACCAGGACAGTATTATAGGAGATCAATTTTATCGCCATTTTTAGAGTACATTTAAAAGTCAATTCATTGAAAGATAAATAAAAAACAATTACATTGTTTCTGGTTTGCAAAACTTGCTGACAAGTTTTATAATTAAAATAAATCCAAGTAACGATGACTTTGAAAAATATATTATTTGTACCGAAGCTTTTTACCGACATAATATGATACTGTTGAATTATAATTGTAGGTGTTAATCGAAAAATAAATATCGGTACTCAATAAAGAACTTTCCAAATCTGCAATCGATAAAATAGGTGTTATTGCGACGGACCATTATCGATTTGGAGTTTACTGTGTAATTTTCATATCTGCAATACTCCTAATGGCAGTATACATTTTTAGCAGAATGTTCGTTTTCAACTTTAAGATAAATAAAATCTTATTGGAGGAATAGTTATGGTAAAGATCGTATAACAGGTTTAACTTTATTGTCAGTCCGCCGATGTATCCCAATAAATATTGAAAAAATAATCAATATACTTTCTAAATTACCAAACAATGTTAATTTTGCTTGTATTGAACTATATTGAACCATTTTTCTTTTGCATTGAAATTATAATGTGTAATACAAACTTTCTATACATTGTTATNAACTATAAAACATTTGCTTTTATAAACCAACCCTAGAGTTGATGACCGATTCGAAATGTCTAATAGAAAATTTGTACGGATGAAACCCCAAATAAAACCAGGGGATATAATTTTGTATACATCAATAGTATAAGTATCCAGAATGTTCTTTTCGAGGTTTTTAACAATGAATTCCTCTCTAACCGTTTTTATGTTCACATTACACGGTCATACAGTAAATACTTGATATTGAATAACATTTCCGACTGAAATGTAATCAAAATTGCAAATATGTTTAGTAGGAAGTGCAATGAGTGTTTAAAAAACTTTCGAACTAAGAGTGTTTTGTCGAAATCCCCTATTTGACCCGAGTGCAGTTCGGCGATTACTTGGGTTTGATCGGAATACAGTTTGACTCTATCTAGTATTTTATTTCGGTCGATTGAAAAAAAAAAATAATAAACCCAGAATTATTTTATACCGTTTATTCTGTATCGTTTAACGGACAAAAGTTAACAATTTCTCTTTTGGATTTCGAAAAAGTCCAATATAACGGTAAAACTGTAAGTCATATTATTATGCGTACATAAAAATCGAATATTGTATTACGGCACGCCGATCAAACATTCGATATTTATAACAATAATATTTATTCGGTCGTCACGGGTACGTAACGCGGAAAATTTATATACAGCGATTTGCAAATCTTGATATTCTTCATTGTACGCATTTACGATTTCTTGGCACATATAGATTTTTCTATACATACAATTTGTTTTCGCGTACTTTTTGATGCGTTGATCATTAATTAATATTATACATTTTTCGTTGCTTACTATTTATAATTCAGAGGTTTTTCTCACGTTTCTAATATTTATAAAACATTTTCATATAATTTTTTTTTTTCTGTGTGTCAATTGACAGTATTATTAGTTCCGGATTGTCCACCGTCGTAAGTATTTATTTCTTTTTTATCAATATTTAACTTTTAAGAGAACGCGATAATATTATGTTTTCCCGNTACATAAAAATCAAATATTTTATTACGGCACGCCGATCAAACATTCGATATTGATAACAATATTATTTATTCGGTCGTCACGGGTACCTATCGCGGAAAATTTGTGTACAGCGATTTGCAAATCTTGATATTATTCATTGTACGCTTATACGATCTATTGGCACATATAGTTTTTTTCTATACAAAAAATTTGTTTTCACGTACTTTCTTATACGTTCATCTTTAATTAATGTTGATCTTATTTGTTGTTTTTTCTTTATAATTCAGAGGTGTTTCTCAAGTTTTTGTTATTTATAAAACACTTTACTATAATTTAATATATTTTTCTGTGTGTCAATTGACAATTTTCATAGTTCCAGATTTTCCACCGTCGTAAGTATTTATTTTTTGTTTATCAATATAGAATATTTAAGAGAACGCGATAATATTATGTATTCCCGTATATTGTGGTGTTTCACTCGCCTCTGTGAAATGTACAATTTAAAAAACTTGCATTCAGCGGGGACGATTTACGCTGTTGGTATTAACGTTAGATATCGAAACGACAAAATCGTCACCAAACTCGAAGGTACGCACATAACCCGTGTATTTATAAATTGATTGTTTTACTCTCGGTGTTTTAACATGCAAAGCGAAGTATTTCTAGGACATATAAAAAATATCACAATTTTTAAAAATGCACGGGCTAGGTACCTACGTTTAGCAGAGAAAAATTAAAGTATCGAGAAAAAACCAATATATGATCGGTGTTTATTCTAATATTAAAACTGACAGCATACAAGATCCCCGCTAAACGCTTGTTATATATCGTGTGTTTGTGTATGACGAGGACTACGTGTTATATTACCTATCATAATATTATGTAGGTACAGGCCTTTTGTGGATATACATTTTCTTGAAATAAGTGAAGTGAGAAATATATTAGTTTAACTATTGTGTAATATTTTTTAGATTCTGAGCAAAGCTCGGAAAGAAAGCTAATAATAAAACAATGGTTTTCTGTCTGTTTAAATAAAACATATTATAATCATTTTTGTAGAAATCGAACGGTGAACAACATGTCGAACATGTCGGTTAATAGTGAATTAAGCACGGTCTCTAGTAGTGTAACGTTTGAAGCAGAAATAAAAAGACTTCAAACCATAGTGGATTTTGTCAGTCGCCATAATATTGTAATAATATTTTTTTTTTTTAATTTACGTAGAACTATGTACTTTACAACCAATAACAATTAATATACGATTTTCTTAAACAGGAGCTTTTAAGAGAAGTTGAGTACCTAAAAAAGAGTTTAACGGAAGTGAAATCGGTAAAAAATTGTTTAGAATTGGCATTTCAATCTGATGAAATACGTGTTTTGGAAAACGCTCCATGGTTTGGTCAGTGTATAAGAATAAATATTTATTATTATTCTTAACAATTTTAAATTTAAATGGCTATAATGGGATATTTTTTTTTAAGAATCTTGTCTTAAAATTGTACAAGACGCACATACTATGCTGAACCATACACAGTTCTATTCAATTAGTTGCTCACCCGGTATGCCATTTAATTAAATTTTAACTCTATTTGGTTTCTAATAAATATTTTTCTTTTTTTAAGAACGTGTATCTTCATTTAAAGGAAATATTATAAACATCATTTCTTCTGAACCGATTGATGTTATAGGATTCACCCATAATGTGACTCTGTTCATGAGTCTTGCAGCTTCCAGTAAAGTGCCCGATACTAAAAGTGAAACATTAATTATATTTCATAAAGTGTTTAATAACCATTTTATTCATAACCTATAATATATTTAGAATTAATTAAGAAGTGTAAAGAAGTTGGAAACATCACTATTAAAATCCTAAAGGCTTGGAACGCAGTAAAAAATGCGAATGATTACATCAAAAGACTGATAAATAGTGTTAACTATATAGAATCTGTTGTTGCAATGGAAGAAAACGGTTCGCTAAATGTAAACGGTGAGTTTATTTATGAATGCATAGATGATTTTACGAATGAAACTTCTACATAATAGGATATCGTTAAATCGTATAATCACGAATTAATTCTAAAAACCAATCGGTGATTAGTAAACAATTTGTGTAAACTGGCAAGTTCCAATCGGTTTTATTTACAAAAATTAAACATTCCGTTGTATTATTAGGAAATGTTGATGTTGAATTGTCGGACAATACGGTTGAAATAATTGACTACGGAGGTACGAAAATTGACTACATTATCGATTTAATGACCAGTACATTGTCATTGACGGGACGGCGTCCGTTCAAACGGGAATTGCCGAGTGAGTTCGAAAACCAAGTTGAAAAGAGAACAAAACGTCTAAAATTGGAAGGTGGCGTTATAGTAACGCCTGCGACCATAAAAATGAAACGATCGTGTCCTTATGACACCGTTTCCCGGGCACCCAAACGAGGGTATTTAAAACTAGCGTCATCAAAAACGATCGGCCCGCGGAAGAAGCTGATTCCAAACCTTATCGTGTCATAGTTGTGTGGTAATAAACTTGTATACAACCAGTGGCGTGTTCAGGTATTTCCTACGATAGAGGAAGATGTATTCTTCAATAAATGTTACAGAATTCTGTTTCTCTGTTCGAATCTACGATATGAATTTCAAAGCCGGATCTACAAATAACCGAATTCCGATATTCGATTTTCCCTTTTAACTTTGCCGAAAAAAAAAATAGTTGTGCAGTAATTAGGTATACTAAACAAGTAACTTTATTACGCATAGTTGTTGTATTCGAAAGACACCTTGTGGGGAAGAGAGTGCGGCCCCCAATCTCACCCCATCTGGGCAGGCCACTGTTTACTACATAATAGTATAATTATTATTATTGTAATCATTATTACCATTATAATTAAATTCATTTTTGTTTTCATTTTTACTTTAGGATACATTAAAAAAATATTCACCACGAATAAATAAAGCACTAAAGGAGCAATGATAATTTATGACGAAAAACTCGGTACATCTTTGTTTTTCACAGGAAAAAAATATTATGTTGTTGGACTATTGTAGGTATTTCGTACTCCATATTATTTTATACTAGATTTAGTATGAAAGTCCGATTTTACGTGATGAACATTGTTATGCCTTCCAATTTATTATGTTTTACAGGTTTCGTCGTTGAAAATGTTGAATGTTTGCGGTGCACGACAGCAGAATAATATTACAGTCGTGTCGTTATTTGATTAAACATTGTTAATTTTTTGTTTACATTTATATTATATCAAATTTTGTATTGATAAATTTACGTTGAACCCGTATTTAATAAAAATTTAATGTTAAAACGTATTATAATTCCGTTAAATTTTTTTTTTTACACACAAAGTTTTTTGGTATTTTGTTTTGTTTATTTATTATTCACAGATATAATATTTAGTCGATTCTATAAAGTTACTTATTGGCTATATTTGGGGATGTCAATTTTAAACTTGCGGATACTAATCACTTTAGCGTCTCTTTGTTACGCCCACGGTTGTACACTGTTTTAACTATAGTTTTTCAGGTTTCTAAACGTAATTACAAACACCTTATATCCTCGTCATGTCCGTCCGTATAGTGTACTGGTAACAACTAGTACACAGTTACGATTGTTGATTGTTGTCGACGCTCCGTCATAGTTACCAACACATAATTGAGATATTGTTAATTTATTTTAAACAATTAC